ATATCAAAGAAAAGCCTGTGCATCTTGATTTGTTGATATAATTCAGGTAATAAGACAAGTATATGCCCATGATCATTGGAATTATCCAATTGTCTGAGATTCGGACTTATAATAACACAAAACGATAAAATGAAAAACGATATGCAAGTTCCACTTTTCATATGAAGAACAATGTATGTAATAAGGGACATAAGTTTTTACTGAATCTGAGAAGTACTTTAGAAAGTTCCTTGTGAAGCAAAGAGTGATGTAAACGATGTAAGCTGCAGAGTAATCAAGCACTTTTTCCAATTTATTTCAAGCTTCCACAATGTTTCTTCTGTAATTGAAAATTACTAGCAAAACTACACTGGGCAATATCAATGTCACAGACCTTATCTTTGCTGACAGTGTTGCCATCCTATCGGAGTCTCTTGAGACTATAATGGTGGTTCTCGATGCATTTAGCAAGAGTATTTGGAGATACAGATACCTGTCCAGAAAGACCAAGCTTCATGTCTTCAAGACCCTGATAATGCCTTTTTTGTTTTATGGAAATGAAACCTGGATGCTATCTGTGGAGTCTCGTCTTGATGCCTTTTACAACAGGTCCTTCCACCAGATTGTTGGGTACAGCTGGCAGAACCCTGTGTCCAACCAACAGTTACACCATGAGACCAATGTAGGACCTATTACTTGTACGATTCAGGATCAACAATTTAGACTAGCTTGACCCTCGAGGATAATCCTGTCCAGCAGGCAGATTGATCAGATCTATTGCACTGAATTAGAGTTGGACTGGTGGCGCACAATTAGGGATCCTTGTGGATACAATACAATTTCTATAATGATAAAAAGAAAATATGGCTTTCTCAATTTACTTGCTGCCTTTCAATGAGGAACTCCCTAAAATCTCTCTTTCTTTAAATTGGACATAGTTCGTTGAAACCATCTTTCAACTGAAATTTTTTTGATACATCACATAAAAAAGAAAACCATAAACAGTGTGGTTAATGTAATCTTTTGTTTTAGCAATATTTCTTTATATGTATATTTTTACTTTTTGGTTGGATGGGGTTAATAATAATAATAATAATAATAATAATGATAATAATAATAATAATTTAAAAAACAAAAAAAAAACAAAAAAAAAAAACAATGGAACATGATTAGCAAAAGTAATCCAACAATTAAGGCCAGCATTAAGATATGGAGACAGTACTTTCAGAACATGTACTCGGTATAAAGTTTTTTTTTCTGTAGTTTCACAGAACTACAAAAAGGGGTTTAATGAATGTTTTCCAATGGCTAACAAATTAATTTATTGTAAAAAGATCAACCTAGGAACATTTCTAGTACACTAAATATTATCACAGAATATAAGACCAAAGAATGCTTTACTCTTCACTTTGTATATTATACCTAAAGAATCATAAAATATTGTTACACCATCTGTTTGACATGTGGTTTCTTTACATAAACATATTTTGTTGTTCCTAACTATGAAAACATTTAAGTTCATGTCTGCATCTTGGGTCCAACCTTAATATATAAAACAGGTAATTTGCTTTACAGATAGCTACATCTAAAGCACAATGAACAAAGGTTGCAAAATTGAAAAAATATGCTCTGCATAACATTCCACTCTTTCTATGATGGTGTAATTGTGTGTGTGAAACCAAGACACACAAACATGCAATGATGCACACATGGAAATGAGCATGAGCATGCACACATACTTACCCTCATACTCACATGCAAGCATGCACTTACACACACAAACACACTTGCACACACCCACCCACGCATATGCACACACACAAAATATTTACAGACACAAATATATATGGAAGTGCACATGTATGCATGCAAATACATACATATGTTGCCAACATGATACATACACACATTAACATATACATGTGTACACACACACACTCGCACACACACATGCGCACACGCACACACACATACACATGTATGAAGGAACACACAGAGAGGGCAACAATCAAGGATGTTCTCTATCTACAGCATCTTTTATAATATGCCATTCCTATACTTGTATTAAACAAAAAAAATGTTTTACATCTGTCTACAGGTAGCTAAACAACTTTCCTCATTAACAAAATTGTTACATATAATAGTGAGGTTACTTTGATAACAGAAAGAAACCCTTAAAGCTACTAACAATCTTTGTAGGAAATAAATTGTATAAAATCATATACAATAAATCTGCTTCCATAAGGCAGTTGAAAAGATTTATCAGTTTTCATATTCAGGAACCGACTGGCTAACTTACATTTTGAGCCACAAACAACAAAATATATATATAAACAAGAAACATGCTCCTCAAAACCTTTTTACTAATTTCCATGCTAGAAAAAACTAGACACAGATGTGCACAGGCACAAACATGGACTTGCACACATTGATAATGATGGAGAAAAAAAAAAAAAAAAAAAAAAAAAAAAAAAAAAAATGATAATAACACAGTAACAATGTCTTAGCTAATACTGATTTAGTCTGATCATTCTTTAAAGTAAGGAGAAATCTAATGAATTTAGTATAAAAATAACATTTTGTGATTACATAACTACATGTGAGGGGAAAAAAAGGCATTTCTTCCATTTGAATAAAAAAAGGAAGAATGTTATGTATCACTGTTTTTTTTGTTTTGTTTTTAACAGTAACATTCTAAAGTCCAACTTAATATAAGTACATAAAATACATACACACAATCTGTCTCAGACAGTCATAACTTGCAGTGTTTTATGTTTAATTTTGAAGGGCAATACAGATTCACATGGCCTATGTGAAACAGGTAAAACTAATGAGCTTGAAATAAACAGTTTAATATTTAAACATCATCAGTATGATAAATCTTCCACTTGCTGAAAAATAAAATGCAGCTAATAAATACCACCTCTTCCTATTAAGGATACAATTCCAGAATATCCTCAAAAGACAAGAAATGCAGTAATCTTCCTCTTCTTGCATACTGTAATATTGTTTTAAAGTGAACTGTTCTTTTCAACTCATAGAACTTACTGTTGTATGCCTTGATATGTTTAAAAGTGAAATATATAATCTCCCTTTCAGTGCATTCATTTATACTAAAATGAATACTAACCACGACTCTCCATATTCTAAAAACAAATACAATTTCTCTCAATGATACAGTCATTAAACTTTAATACTATGATAAATTTCATTCATCAAAATAATTTACTGATCACATTTGCACATATCTACATTGTCTTATTCAAAAAAAAAAAAAACTTGCAGTGTTTTATGTTTAATTTTGAAGGGCAATACAGATTCACATGGCCTATGTGAAACAGGTAAAACTAATGAGCTTGAAATAAACAGTTTAATATTTAAACATCATCAGTATGATAAATCTTCCACTTGCTGAAAAATAAAATGCAGCTAATAAATACCACCTCTTCCTACTAAGGATACAATTTCAGAATATCCTCAAAAGACAAGAAATGCAGTAATCTTCCTCTTCTTGCATACTGTAATATTGTTTTAAAGTGAACTGTTCTTTTCAACTCATAGAACTTACTGTTGTATGCCTTGATATGTTTAAAAGTGAAATATATAATCTCCCTTTCAGTGCATTCATTTATACTAAAATGAATACTAACCACGACTCTCCATATTCTAAAAACAAATACAATTTCTCTCAATGATACAGTCATTAAACTTTAATACTATGATAAATTTCATTCATCAAAATAATTTACTGGATCACATTTGCACATATCTACATTGCATTTTACTTTTTTTTTTTACTTGTAACAATTTAAACTTTCCAATGTAGTAAATTTTCATTCTACTCAAGTAACACATTAATGCTAATGTCATTACTAGTAGAACCTGGTAAGCTTAAGTGGACATTTATTTATTTTTTACTGAAACCCAAGGTCATTGTAGAAAATGTTGCATCTTTACAAGTATATTTAAACTAACTCCCTACTTCTTCCATCTGAGCATAAGTGTTGAGAGAAAGTATCCCAAAATATGCTATGTAACAATAAGCAATGCAACTATAACAATTCTTGTGTCTCAGTTTTCATGTTTAAACTGAAAACACCAATTAAAAAATATATAACACTATTTCAATTTCCTCAATTAACTTTTTTCAAATAACATTTAAAGGAAGCAAGACTTGAAAACATTGTAGATAATTTCTTCTTAAAATGAATTCAAACTTTACTTCCATCTTATATCTACAAGCAATTGTGATATCTTCTGCTTTTTTACAATTCTCTTTAAATACAAAGTTACAGTCTGATAATTCGCAGTCTCTATAGTCTCTTACATTTACAGTTAATGTCTGCATTTGAAAAATTATAAGAAAGCATTCATTAGATAATCATTTTAATCCCTTTGCATCAGCTGACATCCTATCATGTCATAATTCTAGGTCCCAGTCAAAAGCTGGACAATAGTCCAGAGGTGTGCTGATGCACTCTGGCTTCACCAAACTTTATTTAAAATTTCATCTATCATGAATGGGTAACTAACCACAATACATAACTATTCATAGAAGTCAGTGGCATATCCCTCCATAAAGATTTGTGAAATTATGTTTAATGTTGCACAGTTTCCCGATGATTTCTACATGTCATGTGAAGTCCAAGAGAGAAGTGTCACAAACCCTTTATCTTTGAAAGCTTTGGGAACCTGACCCATTTTCTGCCACATATACCCTTCCACTTCCTAAAGTCCTAAAATGTTTCTACTTCAAGTCACTGGCCAGGAATTACAATAGATTTAACCACAAACAGATGAAAATTAAGCAAAATTATCAAAATATATCATTCATCTTGTCTTTACTCATATGCAACAAAAATACTCTTTATGAAAATAATCTCATGAGCTGGTAAAATTTTTAATTCACTCTCCAAAGGATGAAGACGTTCTATCATAATACTTCGTAAGCTTCATAATCACTCCCACTTTCACTCCTCTCCATGTAGAGTTATGGTAGAGGTAAGTTAAAATAAGCTGCA